TTATAAATATTTTTTGGTTTATGATTTATTATTGGAGTTGTGTAGCCTCCAGAGATCCAATCCAAACAGGGCCATGAAATTTTTATGATTTACATGCTCAAAGAAGTACAGGGAATAAATTTTATAAAGAGATAAAAGGAGCTAAGCCTTGCATTAACTAGAGATCCCAACACGCATCACATAGCCTCTGCACGTATCTATCCAAGACTCTTAAAGAGGCATGATTTCAGATCACACAAGCACTGGAGGCAATAACAAATAAAGAAACGCATCAGTGCAGGATGTAACAAGTGGACGTAGTCTATATAACAACCATATTTTGTTTATCCACATGCGCGGAGGAGGCGCGCGATTTTACTATTTTTTTATTTCTTTCTTGCGCCGTGGGAAACAAACGGACTTGGGGGAAGGTGGACAGCAGGCGCCTCTGGTTTTCTTTCTTGGAGTGTGGGAAAGAAGGACGCACGACCAGGATAAGGGCGGATGGATGGGCCAGCCACGGTGGTTACGTTTGGGCCTAAACACTACTACACGTGGGCTATACATTCGTTGCGGGCTTGCGGCAGCTCGTGGGCTTGTGGCAGGTCCATCGGCCATCGCCACGGCTGCAGCACAATTATTAGGATATGCACCCATTTAAAAATAGACAACAGAGAAAATATTTTCTTCTCTGAATGATTAAGACTGAAATGACCTCTACGTGAACCTGTACCTTTGCAATACTGGAAGGTTCCTGCCAGATCAAGAATAGGGACGAGCAGGGAGGGATACTGCCGGCAAGGGGCGAACCATGGCCGCTTGTGTGCAAGTCGATTGAATGAGCTGCCGAGATTAGAATATTTATTGTTTTAATTGATGCACGGGGCAGAAAATACGTGAATTAGACTCTTGCTATACTCTTATTTGAATCAAACTCTCCAATTAGTTTTATATTGCCTGAAATTGAGCATAGGCCTGAAAAGTTTCAGGTTCATAAACATAATTGAACTCAATGGACACGAAGATTCAGTTTTATATTCGAGAATTACAAAAGAGATAAATGATATAGTACCATTGTCTGTATTATGCAGGTTCGCTCACCAGTAATAAACTCATCAGAATTCAGGGTATAACACCCTATCTGTTTTATTCAGTCTTCAGTTGTACAACTGCATCAAGATCGAGTCAATGTTTATGTCTACTTTGAGCTGGCTAATCCTTCGTCTCAAAGCCAGGTATCCAAGCAAGATGTAGATGAAAACAAATGGAAGATGTAGATGAGAACTAACGCATACAAACAGAAATAGGTTAGGTACCAAGGTCCCGGTCGTTGACTGTGTAGATTCTCCACGGAAGTTAGGCTCAGAAAGCTACAACTTCACCATACCAATGCACGCAGCATCAGATATCAGATAAAAAAAATCAACCGAAGTCCGCCTGCCCTGTGTAACTTCATCAGATGGAAAATATCAAGTTGAAGGGGCATGGGGATAATGGGGTCGTAACTAGCGGTGTCTGCATGAAGGAGTGTCAAAAGAGCAAAGAAAACCTGGTGGCAATGGAGGTCTTGTCGGTCATGGAAGGTGCGCTGCAGTGCCACTGCTTGCCGCCGGAGCGCTAGCAACGGAGGTCCTGCGGCACCGGTGCACAGCCAACCCCGCCGCCGCGTCGAGTCACTGCAGTTCCACCACCATGACGAACGAGATCTAGGTCGCTTCGGCTAGAGGCCTGCTCCTCCGCGCGCTGTCACAGCTGGACGTACGATCTGGGGAGGAACGCAGAGCGACGGGCGTGCTTGGGGACGGACCCGAGGCACTGTTCCATCAGAGACTCAGAACGCTGGCAACGTAGGTCCTCCGGCACGACACTTAGGTCCAGTTTAGTTGCAAAAAATTTTGTAAAATTTTTCAAGATTCCCGTCACATCGAATCTTTGGACGCATGCATAAAGCATTAAATATAAATAAAAAATAAAACTAATTACACAGTTTAGACGAAATCCACGAGACGAATCTTTTAAGCCTAATTAGACTATGATTGGACATTATTTGATAAATAACAACGAAAACCGCTACGGTAGCATTTCACTAATTTTTTTGGCATCTAAACAAGGCCTTACCTTTGCGTGATCGCTGGAGGGGCTTAGCTGGAAACCGCGTGGGCGTTGACGTCCTCTGCGATGGGATCGGCGAATCGGCGTTGGCGTCCTCTGCTATGGATTGAGTCGGACTGGAGGAGATCGGGGGTAGGGGCATTGTGTTTCCTTCTAATGTCGCAGTGATTACCTCCAGTTTCAATCTATTCTCACGGTGAATGGAAGTGCCGGGCGAGGTCTGGGAGCGAACGCGCAGAATTGTCAGGCGGGACCTGGGAGGGCGCGACACCAGATCGCATGGTGGACGGAATAGTTTAGATGTAACCAGAAGCCATTTGAATCTATAAGGATCATGACAGCTCAATGGAAAGATGGAACACAGGCAATAAACATCAAATCAAAGTAACCAGAAGCACGAAATCATAGCAAATGGCTGCGGTAACGATTCGATTTCAGGCACAGATAGAGGTTCACAGTCTAAGAACTTGAAGCAGAAACACAGAGGGTTCATGATGAATTACTGGACCAACCATTCCCAAACCACTACCACGACAACACGCATCACATAGCCTCTGCACGTATCTATCCAAGACTCTTAAAGAGGCATGATTTCAGATCACACAAGCACCGGAGGCAATAACAAATAAAGAAACACATCAGAGCAGGATGAGATTCACTAACAGGGTGGACATTTGTGGAAGACAGAAGATGTTGGAAGCTCCTCGTGGCAGTCCGCGGTCCTCCTCAAGGGCACAGCAAGACGATGAAGGCGATGGCGGCAAGCGACGACGATGGCGACGCGCTATGGTGAAGCACAGCTGGTGCGCGGGGGCGGAGGCCGGTGCGAGCGAGGGCGAGCTCAACTGGCGAGGGTGGGCGCTATGGCGATGACACATGATTTATAGTAGAGGATTGATAGCAGTCTCTCTCTTTCGTTTTGTCTTAATTCTCTTTCCTTCTGTGTTAATTCTCTTTCCTTGGAGCAAGGCGCGGGGGAGCCGGGAGAGGCTCGTTGCCATGTATGCTGGTGCATGCAAACATGCAATGTGTATATGGATAGCACAATAATTTTCTACTTCCTATTTTGCCGTGATTCCTGTGTCACATGACAGGCAATATTCAATCAAGGAGAATGGCACGATCAATCAGTAATTAAAATTAACCTGTAATCAATGTGTAATCGGTTTGACCAGCCTATAGTACACTGTATATTTATTTATATGAACCTAAATAAGCGAAAGTATATTGACTACACTTGTTTGGAAACTAATATATTAATCAATCCATGTAGTTTGCTGAAATGGTACTGAACAAATTTGTCGTAAAAGGTCAATTAGTATCAATTGATATGCATGGGTCGAGTAATGCCAACTGGTATTACTTCAAAAACGTACTCAATAGCCAAATCATAAAAGGTCAAAATGCTACCGGTGCTACTAACAGTCAGCTATTAGTTTAAAGTGAGGTCCAATAAACTGTACTTCCATGCAAACTGTCACATGCAAAGAGTAGGAAGACATGCTCAGAAAACTATCTTAAGTGAGAATTCTTTGAAACCACTACCTATAATCTAGCACATGGTGATACTTGACTGTTGGGTAACTGAGAATAAAACAGTCACATTAGATTGATTGTTGTGCATAAATAAGACAGGATATATGCGGATAGGAAACTACTATAATGAAGGAAGAAGAACATCAATACATTAGTTACACGTCGACACTGTTATTTTGATGGAGGCCACATACCTAAGCCCATGGTACCTTGTAACGGCCAAAAAATTTACGTCGCAGGCCTGCATAAAACATAAAGCCATCAACAATTATGTACTTGGAAGGCGACATACGAAAAATTAGTTCTAATATTTTGAACAAAAAGGAGAAAAGTATTAAATCCAATACTAAGGTTGCAGTTGCAACTAAAGCACATCATGGAGCTGGATACAGAGCAAAGAAGCACTGAATTAAATAACATATATGTCCAGTTCCTTTTTTTTTGGTTAATGAGAAGGCGAAATAACAGGAAAGCCTGCTAACATGGAACCAAAGAAGCAACATAAGCAAATCATGGAGGCGCAAACCCAACAAAGAAGCATTGAACTAAAATAACCAAGAGGTTTTTGCCATTTTGTTTGCTTGACCAGAGGGTGAAATAACAGGATAAGCTAGTAACATAAAACCACTATAGCAACAACTAAGTGGTAGCTAAAATTAGAAATGTCCAGTTCTGTGATCTGGTTATTGTTCCTTCATTGGTCCCCTCTGTTATCAACTTGAGAAAGCAACTATCTTAAAGGTGACATGACATCCCAGAGGCCAGGCAAAAAAACAAAGAAAAGGAAAACAATATAACTAAAAGGAAAAATAACTACCGACACTGATGACTGCCAATTTTGAGCATAGACATAAGAAAGGAAAAAATGAGCATCCAGTGCAAGCATCAATGGAGCAACCCTTGCAACGACAGAAAAATTCTTGTGAGGCTACTTGAAGTGTTAATCCTAACTTCGTACAGAATCTACAAAAGTTGGTCTTGTATTAATCTCAAAAGCATTCAGCATGCACTAAAAAAGTATCTCTTTTTATGAGAGCCATATGGTAGCATCGTTAGAAAAAAGAACGCGTAATCTATTTCAGCCGTCAAAATGCTTGGAATTTCAGGAACGTGAACTTACATGTTTCAAGAGAATAAATTTAGATGTTTGGGAAGGTAGGCCTTAACATGGGCAACTCACATGTTGAGAGTAAGTAGCAGAATATGAAACAGAACTAATTTATTTAGCGAAAATGAAACCTATAATTGATGGACAAACTACCTGTTGTTATTAGCTAACAACAAATGGGTTCGGTAACATTTAAACAAACCACAGTTGTATTGACCCAAATGCAGTAATCTGCCAGCAGGTGGAAAGCTCTATCACTAATGAACTAAAAATCGTTATTAGTTGATACAGAAAGTAGCCAAAAAAGTTTGGACCTGTAAGGTTCTGCTTTTGGTGCATCTTTTGGAGTGCTGTTTCCGCTGTCATGGCCAGGTTCACTTGCAGGTGTTTCCACCGATCTTGCTTGAGCTGGAGCTTTGCCACCAGAGTAGGTAAAGGTTAGCAATCTGTCTACAATTTGGAGAAAAAAAATATATTGACTCCTTTCATGATCGGTGAAATTATTAGAAGGAAGAATCTGTTTGGCTGCTTTGACGGCGAAGGCACCTACATCAAAAACAAACGACCAGACATATCAGACTGATATATCTAAACTCATGTCGAGGTTGAGAAGAAGGTGGAGATCGGACATGAATCGAGATGGAGAAAGAGGGGACACAGACCTCTCACTGTGAGGACGGTGGCGAGGTATTCGAGGATGGCGGCAAGGTTCGGTGAGGTAGTGGAGGATGGCCCCGAGGTCCGGCGAGGTGACCTGGGGGAGCCCATGCTTGCCGGCGGAGCTGAGGATGAGCAAGGCTCTAATGGCCGCTCCCAAGCCCCTTCGCCATCACATCCCGTCCGTCATGGATCCGCCGGCGCAGCCACCGGCACGGCAAGGCACCGCGCATCCGCCGGGCAAGAGGAAGAGGTGACAAAACTCTGCCGGTGGCGGCATCTGCGCACGCTGCGGCCGATGGAGAGGGAGGCCAAAGCGGAGGCTGCGCCGGCGAGGCGCCTTGGCGCGGCACCTGCACGCGCTGCGGTAGGTGGAGAGGAAGAGGAGGCGGCGGCGGCGGCGCCGAGGCAGGATTTGTACGGGCTTTTTTCGTTTTCATGGGGGCCGGGGGAGACGAAGAGGAGGGAGCGGAGGCATCGAGACGCTGTGCGCGGTATCGCAAGGCAGGGCGGACCGACGGAGCGACGATTGTGGCATGAAACGGTTCTTTTCTTTTTTTAGTTTGTAGGAGATTACGGGAATACGCATACCAACCACAGCTACTTGCAATGGTGGAGCCGTAGAACAAAACTGAAAAAAAAAACAATTTCACCAAATGAGAAACCAGATATGATGCAACTGGCCACACAGCCCAATATGGATACGGCCCATGGGCCAACAGACCTAATGCAAGACCGCAAACGTGTCTCTTTTTTTTCCTTATATATAAGTGTTATGTCTAAAAAAAAAGTGTTAATTAATTTCTCCATAAAAAAATGGGATCATATTTCAAAGCAAGGATGGAGGATGTTGCAAAACCCGAGCTCCTTATGTGCACAAGTTCTTTTTAAGGCAAAATACTTTCCCAGCGCGCATAGGAGTAGAATCAGAACGACAATGGATTTTGTAAGCGCTTCAACCGAGATTGACAGGCAATTTAGACATTATCCAGAACGAAGATGACAGAATTTATTCTGTTTGCCCTGTAAGAATTACATTGTGATACAAAGTATTGACAACCATATCCAACAAAAGGAGAATGTCAGTTGGGACCAAATGATAGTCAAGTTTACAACAGAACAGTCTAATCTCGTACTGTCATTTGTATTCTTGGAAGTTAACATGGCCAGTGGCTTGCGCATGTTCGACAGCCTCCTGCATTGTGCACAGACATATTGCAACATTCAGTACAACGATATTTGCACATTTGGTTGGAAGTTGAAACCTTTTGCGTTTTATAAGAGCCTTGCCTTTTGACCGATAACGCCGATCTGGCACACCCCACAGCGCAGAGTGAAGTTTGCAGTGTCAGTATAGCTCCTCTTCCTGCATGTTGCATGTCAAACAAAACAATCGATAAAATGTTGACTCCAACATATTTCCATGGTTTCAAACAAATGGGAAATATTATCATCATCAGGGAAGTTGGCAGGTAAGAACAGTGTTCAAATGGCTATGGTTGAGTACCTTTGCGCCTCCCTCACTAAGTTGAGGGCAAGGCCTTCTGCTGGACCAATGGAACGGTTATGATTGACAGGGAAGATTGTCTGGTCAAATTCTTCTGGTGCTCCTTCAGCTGGAGACATCTGAATTTTTGTTCATAAAGAAGTAGATATAGTTAGCAAATACCTCTTGTGTCTTGTTAATTAGCATAATACCGTCAATGAACTTACAGCGAGAGCATCGTAATGCAATCCATCATAAATGAGAATGGCCCTTTCACTATAATTCTTCTCCTGTGTCAAGGGGTGCAAAACTGATAAGTAAATTAACAAATTTGGCACAAGAACATAGGGGGAAGAAAGATCACTAACCTGACCATAGAGATCACAGCGGGTGGTCTGAATGTCATATGCCGCAATTTCACGCCCGTAATATTCGGATAGAATAGAAAGTTCAATGGCTCCTTTACAGACAAAGAGGGTTGAAATTAGTTCTAAAAGAAGCAAAGTGGCAATTTTACAAAACACCATGTTCAAAAACATTTATTGTTACAGTCTTAAAGCTTCTAAACAGAAACACTTTTACTAATAACTCATAGTTCTATTGGTTGTTGTGTGTAATTAAAGAGCCTCTCTTAACTAGTGGTTTCTGATGGACGACCATAAATTAATGGTGGAGATGCCTAATCAGGAGCCACGAGGACTTGAATCCCAACATTTTTCATGGTATTAGGTGCAACTGTTTTTTTCTCATAATGTCCTTTTTTTTTGGGAAAGAAAGTCTCGTTAATAGCGCAGACATTTGAAATCCAGTTCACATATAGAATAGCATGGAAACCCTTCAAGCTGAGACTATTTTCAGCTTTAACGCTGCTGTACAAGTCTATAGTGCTGAAACTCACCTCCCCACTTTTCAGGATCCAAAATCCAAGCACAATATGCTTCATTTGGTTTGCCAAGAAATGCTTCATTGTATTTCTCGGGATCACTAGCAACTGTTGCTGCTATGACCTTCAAGCAAAGGAGGGAAGAAAAGGTAGCTGTGTGTCAACATAAAAGTTCAGAGAGGAAGCAAAATGGCAATACCAGGTGCAGATCTGCACTCTGTGAACAGCAATTTCTAGCTAAAAGTAAGAGAAACTCCATGGAATACAAATGAGGATTCAATTTATCATAGCTCAACTAAGGTGGTCTATTGAAATTATTCTTGTTTGAAGTGTGAGAAGCAGAGTGGCAGTGGATGAAACATCACATCTTGCATAAACATTTTTTTATGACAATGGAATTGGTACAGTTCACCCAATAATATAATGAAGCAACACTCGACTGGCCAAGATGCTATTGGATCTAACAGCTGTCATCAATTACATAATCAGCAGATGGTATTAGAGCAAACCTCAAAACAGCTTCAATGGATTTCAGTTAGCATCCAGCAGCTCTGCTAATCTATCTATATGACATATTTTCACACCACTGTCAAACCGTCCCATGCAGCAAGACATACCAATTTTTAATGCACTTATGCATGGCCCCACAGGCCACAGCTCCTTTTATTAGTAGACGGTGGAAATCATGACAGTAATAAGATCTCGGGCAACAGATTTGGCTCTGCCGTTTTTCAGGCAACCGTGCAAGCTCCGATCCAAGCAAAGCATAATACCATTTTGACAATATACCAAAGACAAAGAGACAAGTCTAAAAGTGAGGCCCACCGCAGGCAGCAAACAGCTAATTACAGAGTTGGTCGAAGCAGTTACCTGTCTGAGCTCAGAAGCCTTATTCCGGTTGTGCTCCATAACGTAGCTGTACCAAAGCACAGGTGTTGTAAACTGTAATAAGCAACCGGCTCCATTTGCTAGACCATGAATCATGAATGGTGCAGTAGCAGCAGTGCTATGACAGACTTACCCCACAGCATTGAAGAGGCAACTGTTATCCGAAGGGATGACCCTCCTGACAACGACACCTTCCATTTCGCCCGGCCTACAATCACCCCAAACAAAACAAGCGCCAGTTGAGAAGGGAATTATATTATGCTGAAAGAACCAATGGCGACGCCGACTGAAGCTATCGCGGGCTACTATAATACACTCGCTATAACAAGAGCGATAGCAGCAGCAAGATTGCCCTGCCTGCCCGCCACGTCCTTATGTTCCAACTTCCAATCCCACGGACGCACGGCACGGCAGGTAGAAGGAAGGCAGGGGTTCCATCCAGAACGCCGCACGCAGGAAGTTGCGTGGAATGGAAGGGAAAAGGCTACGCCGCTACGGGAAGCTACCAGGTGGGGTTCTCCAAGAAATGGGCAAAAGAAGGCGCCAGCCAACCACCCCCACGGCTCCGCTCCACCCACCGCCGCTAGGCACGCGGGCTGCGGGAGAGCGAGATCCCACGAAGCAATCCAACACCGCGCCCCAAGGCGGCGGGCCGTGCCGACCGAGAGGCAACGGATTCCCGCGCTCGCAAGCCGCAGGCGACGACACGGCCACCGCGCGCGAAGCAGGCAGAGGAATCACGCACGCACGCAGACCTCGGAGCAGCAGCAAAAGCAGAGCACGGACGCACGCACGTACCCGGAAGCGGCAGGAGACTCGTCGCAGGGGAGGGGTCGACACGGACACGCGGGGCGCGTCGCGCTCTGTCCGAATTCGCGGAGCTTTGAATCGAGGGATGGAGGGAGGGCAGCGGAGGAAAGGGGCGCGGAGAGGAAGGGGGAGGCGGTATACAAACCAGGCCAGCGGCGAGGCGAGGAATCAGACGGAAGTGGCACTGTGGCAGAGGGCCCGGATCTGCTTGGGGCGGTGTGGCCTGTTGCCTGTGGCAGGTAGAGATCTCCCTCTGACAGCCGCCCTAGTGCCTGCCTCGATCTGAAATGCAGGTAGGAATTGATGGATGGCATGCCCATTCGATTTTTTTGACACCCTTGCCTGAAATGACAGATATATCTTTATTATACATGTTTGGTTCGAGAGCTCCTAAAACTTTAGTTCCTAAAATTCATGGATGGCATGCCCATTCGTTTTTTTTACGGCACACACCCCTTCGATATAAAACCAGGTGACAGATATATCTTTATTATATTATATTAAAAATGGGAGTCGCTTTGGGTTTTTTCAGGTGACGGTTATTACTCATATTTTATGTTAAAATTGCAGTTTTAGTTTGTTGCAACTTTTGTTGGCATAATCTGCAAGATCCAAGAATAAAAAACTTGATAGACAAAATCACAAACCTGACAAATCTAATATATATTGACACAAAGATAATTAGCAATTCATAATTTTTTTCTATAGTTAGACAAGGACAAAAAAAAATGTTGTAACACAAACAATTAACAAATCACAAGAGGACAGATTACAAGATGATTGAAAAAATTAGACGAGGGAGAAAATGAGGGAGCTGATAATCCTGCTACAGCTAGCGTGTTTGGATAAAGATCCGATAGGTAAAGCGGGCCAATAAAAAGAATACATCATCACCAGCACAAGCTACGGGGCTACGGCACAAGATCAGACGGACGAGCCGTCGCCTGAACAAACGAAGCATTTCAGTCGACTGATATATAGGAAACGTGGTTAAAAATAGATGTCGAAGAAAGACACTTCTACGAGCAAGCAGTAAGACGTGCCTCGCTACGAGAGCGGAAAAAACACAGGCCCTTTGTCAACGCCATGAGCCGCGGGCCTACAGCGATCTGCCCCGATGGCGAGTCCAAAGTCCGTTTCCTCGGCGGGCGAATCCGATCCCACAAGCAAAGCGACCACCGACCGGTGCCGCTGCTTGGCTACTAGGCAAACCTTTGGTTCCCCTGGCTCCTTTCCCCCAGGCCCCCGTCTCCTCATAGTCATAAGTCAGAACTCAGAACAGGAAACATGGCAGATATATGGCGGCATTTTTTTTTTTTTTTTTTGCGATCATATATGGCGGCATATTGCGCGGCAAGTAACTACTGTTAGTGTAATTTCTTTTTATATCCATGACAGATAGGCGGCATATATTGCGTGGCTTCTCCGTCGGTGCGTCCCAAGATTGAATTTGTACTCGGGTTAGCATGGACGCAGCCACGCAGGTATTCTGTCCAAACTGGAACAGCTGCTTCCCAGAGAACCAATATTCCCCCTGTCTGATAAAGCAAGCAGAAAGTGGTTAGTTGATATGCTCGTGGTTTATCCAGGCACCATATATTATCCCCGCTATTTCCGCAACCCGCGAGAGTCAAAGCCACAGCAATTTCAACAAGGTGTCAGCGATGCCAAAAGGTTCATGGTATGATGCACCACAATGCAGAAAGCCAGGAACATACCGCGTCATCAGGAGAAAGGAAAAAGAGAAAGATATGGTATTTTTCTCACCAGATCTTGCAAAAGGATAAAATCTGCTATTCTGTCACAAGGGCTGGCACTTGGGCCTGGAGGCAGTAAGCCTGGAACCAGATTACTCTGAGCTGCATTGGAATATGAAATGTCAGCTCACTGAAACAACGTGTGGGTAAATTTTTCAGTGAAAACGCACAACTAAATGGAATTCTTAATCTTAATGAAATACAAATCGCAAAACCTAAAATATTTGTGAGAGGCTAGACAACACAAGCAGAAGAGCAAACAGAACAAGAATGACAGCATTGAATACCTGTTTAAGGCAGCACTATTTCAGTAGCATCTCAAGTTCATCAGGCTCCACTAACCCTACTTCATTCTCATCAAAAGAATCGAGCCTAATCCAGCTTTGGAGCTCCTCCTTGAGTAACACAATAATTATTACCTATATACAGAGTACAGACAAGTCTATCAGGCAATGTTGCTATGTTAAGAAGATAGTGCTCATTTGTAGATCAATATCTAGATTAAGGAATCAATATACTCATCAGCTAATCTTGCAGAACAGTATTTTCATTAGTTGAATCTAAGTATCTAACGTTCATTTTCAAACAGACTAGTTCAACCATGAGCATCTTGACATCTTAAAACAAGAAACATGTCACGATATGCATCAAATACTCAGGTTAGATATCTTTTTTTTTTTTTGAATCTCAGGTTAGATATCTTAGTTGAATGAAAGGATAGATTTCTTTGCAAGTTTCCATCCCGTTCAATATCAGGAGCCATAGCTGAACAGAAAGGCATCATGGTCATGCCTCTGAAACTAAGTCGTAGGCTTCTAATGGAGGTTCATACATTTATGGTGGAGATGACTAATGAGGAATCGTGAGCTATAAAGTCCCAGATATTTTCTAATATCAGGTGTAAGAGAGTTGGAAAATAAAATATCACAATATGTCCATTCTTATGGAACCAATAGTCTGTTCAATACATTGGAACATTGCCACAAATAGTCCCAGATATGACCAGATACTATGCAAGATTTAAGGAGAAAGTCCAGTCCACGGGAAAAAAATGCCATCATAGTGTTTTGTTGCCAGCCTGATTGCCACAATGCCATCCAAAGTTCTGACATTGACAAAATGACATATTGTGGCATAGCCGATGCTATTTTGACAATGCCACAAATTTGATAGCATTTTGGCAACTGAGTTTCAACATAATGCTATGAAACGCAAATTAAAACTACTGAAACTCACCTTCCCATTTTTCACGATCCAAAATCCAAGCACAGCAGGCTTCATTTGGTTTGCAAAGAAACGCTACATTAAACTTTTCAGGATCACAAGTAACTGATGCTGCTCCAACCTTCAAGCAGATAGGGAAGAAATAAATAGCAATATCAACAATATGAAAGTCCAGATAGTAGGAAAAATGGCCATAGCACGTGCACACTTGCACTACATTCACAATATTTCGTAGCTAAAAGAGTAAAAGAGGCAGCACCATGGGTATCAAATGTTACGGTTCTGGTTTGAAATCAATGACAGTGGGTAGACCATCGTATCTTGCACAAACTTTTTTTAGACCATTAAATTTGTTCAGTTGACCAAATAAGGAAGTAAAACTCAACAGATTGACATGCCCTTTAATCCAACCAATTTCATCAAGTTTGATTCGATAGTCAACTCATGAGAAATGACTTGAGAACAGCCCTGGAAGAAGATTTATAATTATATACATGGACTCGATTAACATCCAGTTGTTCCTCTACATTGATATATTTCTATATCACTGTAAAATCGTTTGGTACAGATCGCTTTATTAGACATTCGAAATCATACAGGAATAAAGTATCAATTGATTTGTCTACCCTTTTTCAGGCACAAGAAAACTCATGATCTGGCAGCCTCAAAAACCTTTTTCTGGCGGTGTTCCATCACGTATCTGTATCAAAACAGAGGTGTTATAAAGCATAATATGCAACCTCTCCATTTGCTAAAATCATCAAATAGTACAGTATGACAAAAAATTACCCCACAGCATTTATGAGGCAGCTGTTGTCCAAAGTGATCACCCTCCTCATAACACCTTTCCATTTCGACCGGCCTACAGAATTGTTGAAAGCAAACACCCCAAACCTCCTGTCATCAGGAACCAACATATTAAATAATCATCATCTAGTATATAGAAGAGTAATGTTCAATTGTACAAATATAAGGATAGGTTTTTTTAGAAGTTTCCTAACCTTTGCAAAATCAGGACCAGCAGCTTCATTAAAAGTGAATCTGTGCAATTACTAATCAGAAACTCATGGAAGGAACTTCTGCTGCAATCGAACTCTGGCCAGGTGGCTTCCTGACAATTGCTTCAGTCCTTATCTTCCTTCTAAGGGTATCCACTTCATGCCACAGATTTTGGTTAGCATATATATTTGACAGCAGCACACTAGCACCTCCTTTGTAGGAGCAGAGTGACTCAATCTTATTGAGCACAAGCTCCCCAATCTCTAGTTCATTATTGATACTGCATGCACTCAGCAGGGCCCCAAGAATCTCCAAGTTTGGTTCTAAAGGCATCATGCTAATGAATTCATAAGCACAGCGAACAAGCCCTGCTCTGCTGAAAAGATCCACCATGCAGCCATAGTGCTTGATGTCCCGGGGGACATTGTGCTCACTCTCCATGGAATTGAAGATACGTATCCCCTCGTCTACCAGTCCAGCATGGCTACAGGCAGACAGAACCACAATGAAAGTAGTTGAATCTGGTAATACTCCATCCTCCCGAATGCTGAAGAACAATTCAACCGCTTCTTCACCACGTCCATGAGAAGACAGCCCTGAAATCATTGCTGTCCATGAATGCAAGTCCTTCTCACGCATCAAACAAAACAATCTACGTGCAGACTCAATGCTGCCACACTTCCCATACATGTCAACCAATGCATTCCTAACAATTAACTCGCCCTCCAATCCAGTCTTCTCCACATACAAATGCAGACCCTTTGCATGCTCCAGCAAGCCCAGACCGGCACAGGCAGAAGCAAGCAACGCCACCGTGGCCTCATTAGGCCACACAAGATCATCAGCACCTCTCATCTCGTTAAACACCTCAACGGCTTTCAAGTACATCCCGGAGTCTACATAGCCAGACAACATGCTGGTCCACGCAACCACATCCTTCACCGGCATTTCCTCAAACACCCTGCGAGCGGTGACCACCGACCCGCACGCGAGGTACACGTTCATCAGCGCCGTTTGGGTGAAGAGGTGGCAGTTGTAGCCAAGACGGAAGCCCTGCCCGTGCAGAGACTGGCACAGTGTAGGGCCGCTGCGGGAACAGGCGCCGATCAAGAGCGGCAAGGTGTAGGGGTCCGTGGGGACGCCTCGGCTGCGCATTTGGTCAAACAGGCGGAGCGCCAGGCGAGGCGGGGAGGCGCGGATGAGCGAGTTGAAGGAGAACGGAGAGAGCGAGGAGGCCGGGAGATAGGCGAGGAGGGCGAGGGAGAAGGGGAGGGAGAGGCTGGAGGATGCGAGGAGCAGGCGGGAGGCCACGAAGGGGTTGCGGGCAAGGCCAGAGACGAGGCAATAGGACAGAACAGGGAGGTGGTCGCGGAGGGAGGCGGCGGGGATGAGGAGGGGCCGCAGGCGCCGGTGGCGGCGGAAGAGGGAGTTGGCCTCCGCCCACGCCGGGATGGGAGGGGAAGGCCGTGGCGGCGGCATGCAGATCGCAAGGGCATCTGTCTTCGTCGTTTCAAATTAAGTTTCCAAAATATGTAAACCGAACGTGCTAGGCATTTCAAATTTGGGTTTGGTCGTTTAAAACTTTGTAACCAACAATCAAGATAATTGATCATAACTCATCAATCTAAGCATGCTCTTAAGTCCATTAGAGGCCTCAGTCCATTATTATCTGAACCAAGATATGCTTCTCGTTCATTATTGTAATATGTATATACAAATTGAATTTAACTAACCCAATTTAAATTCATTGATCATGTAGACCTAAGGCACAACGGCATTATTATTCGCCATTAAGTGAACACGTAGTAATAGTAATAGTACTAGTAATTAAACTGACGCAAAGCTACCCAAAGAAGTTGCACGTCGCCGTTGGCCCGAAGTAACACCCTGCTTCCGTTTCATAAGCGGAGCCATGGCCGCCGCCATCTCCAAGGTCGTAGGCATAGCCTTCATAGCCTGTGACATGGCTGTGGTCAGAGCCGTAGTTGAAAGCCAGTGGCACCGGCGCCGCCGCCGGCGGGAGATCAGGAGGAGGCAGCAGCATCGGAGCGTGGGTGGCGGCATGGCCGACGACGTTGCCGCCCATCAGAAGAGCCATCGTCTGCGCGTCCACGGCCAGTTGCTGATGATGGCTGCTGCTGCTGCTGGCGCCACCATAATCATCAGCCGCGAACGACGTGCCGTCGCCGAGGTCGTAGTAGCAGGCGCCAGCCGCCGCCGCCGCGGCGGCGGCGCACTGATGCTGCCTCATCGCATGGTCGGCGTCGTCCTTAACCCGCTCGAGCGCGGTGAGCATGGCGACGAGTTCGCCCATCTCGGCTTGGCGCACGACGTCGTCGGTCCACACCCCGGCCGCGCGCGCCGCCGCGTCTAGCGCGTCCTTCCACCGCACCTCCGCCGCGATGGACTCGCACAGGCGGTCGCGCTGGCCGTCGAACTCGTACATCATCGGCGGCGGCGGCGCCTCGAACGCGTCGTTGGCGGCGGCGGAGGAGACGGGGTCGAGGTCGAGGTACCGCTCGACGACGGCGCTCACGGAGGGGTGGCCGAACGAGTAGGGCTTCCCGGCCGGGGAGTACACGATGACCGCGACCTTGGCGCCGGTCAGCGCGCAGAGCTCGCTGGCCTTCTTGTTGAGGCCCTCGCGGCGCTTGGAGAAGCACACGTGCCTCACCTCCATGCACTTGATGGGCTTGATGTCGATCTTTCGGCGCCCCAGCGTCTTCTTCCTCTTGCGCTCCCCGCCGCCGCCGGCCTCGACGACCATCTCCGCCTCCGAAGCCATCGACGCCGACGACGCCGCCGTCACCTGCATCTCGTCGCCCTCTCGCGGGATGATCGCGGAATGGCGAGAGCTAGCGTGCGTGCGCGAGGACGAGAAGAGAGAGGTTCTCTGGACGTGCCACGTCGGGACTCGGGAGGTGGGTATATAAGGGATCAGAAGAGATGCATGCAAGGAAACCGAGGGGCCCATATCGGACAGATTTCGTGACTGTCTATTGATTGATTGAGAATTTCGTTACGGCAAGGTTTCCATGTTTGAGAATTGAGACGCGAAATCGAACTCTGTTCCAACGTTCGAATGGGGTGGGTGACCCCATGCTGTACTACGATTTCCGTATCTCGATCAGTCACCGTGTACTAAGGACTCTAGCATTGACGAGCATCGTGTCTGGTCAGTGCCTTACGTGCGTTCGAACGGGATCAGCACAATTGCAGAAATATGGATGAAAGCGGTGCAGAAAATTATATACACGGGTCAACCTGTTCGCTTGAACTTATGAGCCTGGTTTATCAGTCATGATATGTGTTTTCTCTCACAACAAAACAGCACTAGCCGGCTTATCAGTCGTAAAAACCATCAGCCGAACAGCTTACTTTTTTTTTATCGAAACATAAAATTTACCATTTTGTGATTTCAGCACAGCCATTTTTTCATTAATTATTTTGATATAAAAAAGTGGGCCCAATCGTGGAAGCAGTAGGCACGCCTTCAGATTAGCTGTAAAATGCGGCTTTGGATTTCGGCAGCACTAGCTCCCCGGACGTCCAGATGCCACAGCTGCTCCGCCCCGTCCACTCGGATTCACGCGCCGCCCGCGCCAACTCCATTCCCCGCACTCGCATTCAAACCGTCTGCTTTGGATCCACTGTCTTCATTGATCACATGATTCGCCCTCCGTCTCTTCCACACCGGTGTAGCGCCCGTCTCTTCTGGACCGCCAGGAAGACTCGCCCAGCCTCTTCCACAATAGAACCGCGCGGCCCGTGCCTCCTCCCCACACCGTCGCCGCTGACCAGCACCTCCTCCACGCGTCGGTGGCCGCGGCTTGGCCCTACTCGCCCTCATGGATACCAACTTCGACGGTCTACACTTGGAACTTGAAACACTAGAATGCAACATACATTTAAAACAGATGAAATATTTGGGACATACGTTTGCAACATGTGTGTGAAACATATGCAACATCCAGATAAAACTAGTGCAACATGAAAAAAACACTTACTGCAACATAAGACTGAAACAGCCGAAACATTAAAACATAGTGTGAAATCATATGTGTGAAAACATATACAACATCTAGATAAAAAACGATTACAACATACATCTGAAAACAGTGAAATGTTTTGAACAAACTACTGCAACATGCTTCTAAACACTTGTAACATATGCTACATGTGCAACATCCCCGATCTACTTTTGCAACATCCATAAGAAACAACTGCAACATATCTTTAAAACGACTGAAACACACATTTGCAACATAGGGAAGGGGAAGCCTGGGCCGGTCGATTCCAGCCGTCAGGTCGGAACCGGTGGCGAGCGGCGACGCACGAGCACCATTGCCATCAACCCCACCAGTACCGGGCTTGGCTCGGCGGCGATGGTGAGGGATGGGGGCGAGGAGCGCCAGGGCCACGTGGGTGTGGGGAGCTTGGTCGTCGGTGTGAGAGAGGGCGCCGCCGTGGGTAGGGAGGGTGCCGCGCACCAGGGTGGAGGAGAGCCGCCAACTCCCCTGCAACACCGACACGCCACCTTCATGGATCTCATAGGATGCGAGCAGATCTCGCTCCTGCTCCATGGATCTCGCCGGGGTAGGGAGAGGGCCGGGGATAAGGAGCACGGAAGGGATAAGGGCGGGAGCGGAGCGAGGGGTGCGAAGTTGATTTGTTTTTTTAGACGAGCAAAGCATGCTTAATGATAGCATTACCGTTCGGATTTTGTTCCCAATCAGATCATGCACACACAAGCCTCCTGATCTCAGAAGAGAAGACAAGCCACAAGTTCATGCTGTGCCTGTGGATCCAGTTCTGCTTCAAAGCAGCGCTACCATCTAATCTTGAAAAACGTCCAAATCTATCCTCCTATTGCCTTTTCCTATGAAACCCTCACCTGATGGAAGTGCAAAACCGAAAGGGACAAGGCATCTCGTCTCACATACATAGTCATGTGTCAGCAATTGCATCCGCATTGCAGCTTGCAAGCGAGGTGAAGAGTCTGAAGACTACTCAGTTGAATCAGGAACAAAATTCCGGAGTGATTATTCCTTCTCAAATCCAATTTTTTTTAAGTAAACCAAGAAACTGCAAAGCATCTGCACGGGTGATACTGAACTAAACACAAATCTAGACTTCTAGACACAACTTCTCAACTAGTCGCGGCGCCAGGAGACGAGATCCGGCGCCGGCGCGAGCGCCCCCGACAACAACTTCTCCGTGTCAGGCTACGGCGACGGCGGAGGCAAGAACGACACGCCCCTGGCGGCGGCGACCCTCCTGCGGAGCGGGTACCGCCCCGAGCCGCTCGTCGTCCCCAGGAAACGCGGCGCGGCGGGCTGCTCGTCCGCGGCGAGGACTGGCCGCGCGGGGGACGGAGGGGCGGACCGCGGGAGCAGGAGGCACGCCGACGACCGGACGGACCGGGCCACGATCCTCGAGTCCCGGAGCCGCGCGAGCGCGCCGGGGCGGAGGAACCGCTGGTGCTGCTGCTGGTGGTGGCGCTCGGAGGCGCGCGGTAAGGCTCGGAGGCGGCGGTCCATGGCAGGCGGTTGGGCGAAGGATGGCGGCGGCGCAGGCGAGGCGAGCAGCTGAGATGTGTGGATTGCGTGGGGTGATTGGCGGGGGACGAGTAGGAGATTTTAAGGAGGCGGGCGGGGAAGGGAGGAGTGAGCAGTGGAGGGAAACGATGGCGGGAACGGAAAGCCTGCGCGGGCAAATTGGCAAAGGAGGGGAGACGATGACTAAGTCTAGTACTGGCACTGGTCCAGCGCACTGGTACACGCGGACCCTGTCACTGACCTTTGGGCCTCGTTTGCCAGTTTAGGCGCGTGCATCTTAGTGGTACCAAGCTTCCGACGTGTAGGCTAAGGTGTACTAGCTCACAATTTGCACATGATTCAGTGGTAGCTTCAGAATGAATTTACTAGTAAAGCTAAGTTACTTCTTTTATGGCATAAAGTGGATACCAATTACTAAATTTACTATTACTTTTATGGCACAAAGTGAATGTTGCACTCTAGTTTCAACTGATTTTCACAAGAAACACTTGAAAATCACTGAGATAAGGCGCCAGGCAGGCATGAAAGTTTTATTGTTTTTGGTATCACATATCGGCAGCCATACATACAGTACAGGAGATCGGTACAAAATGACCACCGTAGACATTTTACCACACAAAAGAATGCATCACCACTCATATCATATCCTTCTTCATCTTCATCTTCTTCACTGGCACCGGCTGACAGACGCTACCTAAAATTGTGGTCCGCTTTCGTCGGTGTTAGCCCGTTACAAGATCACAGCTACCTACAATGAATTACATACACACAAAACCGTGGGACAATGTACAAACAACAGTCAGAATGGTTTGATCTATTATATAGCAGCTTCTGTTGATGTTTCTTTTTTTGTGCTAGAAAGTGGCGTTCCACAGCGCCTTCTCGCCTTCGGCGCACTTGTTGTGGACTTCCCAGATCCTCCCCTCGGAGTTGCATATGCCGCTGCATCTCCAGTCGAATGACGCGGCGCAGATGTTCCCTGCCTGAGCTTTCCATTCGCAGTCTGTGATTAAAGGTGGTACAAAATGAGACTCCGTGAAAATATTTCACATTCTTCAGTCTATCAAATAGTTCCAAACTTCCATAGTTATGTTTCAAAAGAGCAGTTCAAATGATCAGGCCTCATGAATGATGAACGAACAAACTTAAGTTTGTCAGACATGTAACAGAAGCTCACCAGGCGGAGTACCACAACAAAGTCTCCTATCATCAATATGCTCAACATCTAACCCAATGAACCAAGATCCTAATGAAACGTCCTCGTTTATATACTTGTGCAGGATATGCCTGGCATAGTTGGATTAATAGCAACTAAGTCAGTGAAAGGTTCTAAAATGAACTGTATTTCGAGAAAATTCAAGCACATGTTAACTCACTTGTTTATAGATATATAGGTTGCCAAATCTTTCGAAATAGCATATAATTGACCAGTAGCATGCCGGAAATACTTGCTTCCTGATTCCCCAAATTTCCAGTGCTCAGGTTCATAATATCTCACGCCCCTGGAGGAAAGGACAAACATGTCTCAATATCTTTCAGTAAATTGCTATCCCTATCCTCAAGACAATTGGATTCTGTCCATAAGATATGCTTACTTTTCAGATAGGACAGGTCCGGATTTCATGCATCCAATATATACTCTCGGCTTCAATGCCTGTTTTGACAAAATCTGTCCAAGTGTTGCTGCAAATGCAAAACTTCGGCATTAGATGCTTTGCCAGAGCTTATCATATGCTATTTTTGAAAAATATTCACTAACCAGCTAGTACATCTAGTTTTAAGTGTACAAAAAAGGAAATGGCTGATGATTATCGAAAAGTAAATGGGAGTTCCTAAATCCTAACTGAAGATCAACAAAGAGCGTAAAGTTCTCACAAGGAGATTACCTATGTTCACATGCACATCATCGTCAACCTTAACATAAAAGTCAGCATCCCATAGTGAAACAGCTGTAGCAAAGTAGGTCTTGGTTTTGCCTGACAATGCAAGGTATCCTTCAACATGATCCTGAATAAAATTGCAACCACGGTGAATAGGGAGGAAAATCCAGCAGTCTGAGCAAAACTCAGAACAAAATCCACATATATCACTCCCGTGTGAAAATAATAGGGAATTAACTTACTATCCTCATGAAGTCCCCATGTTTCCTGTCCTCTGCTTCAATTGCTCTATCAACAATGCCACCTGATATAGCACTGCAAGGCACGTGCAGCTTAAGGCAAGTTACTTTCATGTTTTTTTAGGAAACAAGTTACTTTCACTGTTGAAATAAATAAACCCAGAACTTCTTGTAAACGTCAACTACAGATAGCCACAAAGTATGTTTCCATCACACCTGTGGCCAATGACGAACCGAATTATGATCCCCTTCTCTTCTTCAAGCTTTTTCCTCTTTTCACCTAATTTTAAGTACTATAATATTAGTTATTCAGAGCATGGTAACTAGAAACATTCCAAACCAATGACATGTACATTATATTTTAATATTAGAACCTTGGGGCATCCAGGTGTAACGTATTGAATCTCTCCTCTTGCGACTGCTAAATGCGGTATTGATCCCTATCACCATAAGATACTTTCGCCTCCCAATTGATTCAGAAACTTTAAACTCTTCCGCAACAGGGGAACCATTCAGCAGGGATTCTTGCAGTGATCTTGCAGCTGAGAGCTCTGTCTCTAAGCTTGCTATCGTCTTATCTAGTGTTCTACATCCAAGTATACGTAAACACCAATCAGAAGACTAATAAAAGAATCGATAATCTCAAACATGGGACAGACATTAGGTCAAGAAAGAAAGGCCAATACATACTGTACATCATGATGGCTATCTTGAACTTGTAAAATATCTCTGTAATCTTGCTTTTCTTGGACCTGGTACCAAATAATAATAACAAAATAAAGTATCATCAATGATTCCAAGCATGGCATTGTATTAACCGTAAAGCACTGAATTTTATAACGCTAACTTGTTGTGGCAGCTGTTCTAATAACAATAGAAAGGCATGAATAAAACTACGAGTCTCTGCCTTTGGAATTCTTGGAGGAATTAGAGGGGGTAGAAAGAAGCAGCCTACCTTTTTAGAACCACACTCCGCAGCAACTGGCACGTTGCCTTCCTCTACATTTGCGTTTGGCCTAGCAATCTCACTTGCCTCAGGCAGTGTCCACATTCTGAAACAGAGGATCATGGCAACGTAAGGAAGCATAGATCATTCGGTCTCGCGGAGCACCACATGATACTAGTTGAAATTGATGAACCTGACATCCGTACGTTTGGTGCACTGTTACAGTGCTACAAAACTGAAGCCAGCAGAGAGTACAAAGCTACAAGTGCATTCTGGATTCTGAGTAGGACTATCCATAAAAGGACCACCCCAATTGGCAAAGGAAAATGGCCCCATATTGCAATTGCAATCCACTGAATCCGCACCTCATGGTCTCATGGAACATCAAAATCCCAGCTCAATAGCAATTGCATAGAAAACCAGCAAACGCGCCCATGGAATCCAGAAACATGTAAGGAAACAAAACAGCACGCCCAACCCAAATCCAGCGAACGCGAATTCACGGCGACACAGGAATCTATCCCCCGATGCGGCAGCGCCCAGATGCAGAATGCAGAGGGCTAATCAAACGCCAGGGATCTCGAGCCGGGGCCAGCTCAAACAAGCGAGCAGCGCTAATAAGCCAAGAATCTCGAATTGGAGGCGCGGGAAGGAATCTGGAGCCGGAGCAGCGGCTGGGTTACCTGTTGGTGAAGAGCAGGCCGAGGCAGAAGCTGCCGACGCAGAGCAGGACAGCCCACCTCCTCGACACCCCGCCATCGCCTCCTCCGCCTCGTCTCCAGCTCATGGCCGCCGCTGCCGATGCGCGCTATGAGCTATCCCTCCCTTCAGCAGCTCCTCCTCCCGACCCGGCCTCAGCTCCTCACCTCCCAGATCGAATCCATGGAGAGGGACGGAGCTTGACGTCGAGGAAAGGAAGAAGGAAGCGGAAGGGAGGAGCGCTTGGCTCGTTGCCCTTTCTTCAGTCTCCGTCGCAGCAGCTGGAGCGCTCCTCGCTTTCCATGTGGGTGAGGGGTCGGTAGATGCGACGCGAAGCAGAGCAACCGACGGTCGGTCGGTCATGCCAGGCCAAGGCCAGTGCCAGTGCCAGTCCACCGGCACGCGCCGCTTGCCCCCGCCCGCCGCAATTAAACTAACTACCCATTAGTTACCGCCATTCAGCAGCAGTAACTGCGAAGCAATGGCCGCCGTACGACGAGAGACGACGAGCGCGGGCAATCGAATCACTGCGGCGCGGGCTCACCCGCGGAGCTAGTAGATCGGGGGAGCGGCGGGCGGCGGCTCGGAGTTCCAGTCCAACCAGAACCGCACGCTGAACAGTGAACAACAACTCCTCCGCTGTTTTTTAATGGCTTCGGCTCGTCCGTTTCCCCGCCCGTCCTGGCGCGCCTCACATGGGCGGCCCTGGCTCTGCGATCGCACGCACGCACGTGGTTCCACCGCTCCCGCCGCGCGTCGACCCGACCCGAACCCCAACCGCCGCTGGGCGACGCGCAAGTGTGCTGCTGCTGGTGCGGTGTCGCTTTCGTCCGGCGTGGTCCTCCGCCCCCACACCCCCCGGCGCCTGCGGGGTCGTCGGTGGACACGGCAGGTAGAGAGGGGCACGGGGCGGGTGCCGTGGCCGCCTTGGCGGATGATGTCGCGTACTCGCGTCTGATCGTGAGCTAGCGCGCAGGTTGCGGCTGCAGCCGCATGCGGGTGATTATGACTATGAGAGAGATCACCTGATCTGTATCAGGGTTAGAGAGTGTGGTAATGGCAGTGTCTGGCGTGAGCAGGGAAGGTTCGTGTCATCGTGTGTTTGATGATGTGACGGGCAAACTGCTTGGGTAACCTCCGTTTCCAAATACCACAACGTGCTTGACACCGAACTTTTAATACGTCTTATTATTATTACAATTGGACTCTCTGTTACTGATGGTCGCCGGTTATTCTAACTTGTATAAAAAAAAATCAAAAGTAGCACCATGACGAGAAAACTTCCGTTCTAATATTAGCGAAATGAAAGAGAAAAGATAGATCCATGGTTAATTCTGCATGATCGATCTAGGACCCGCTTGGAGGGCTCTAGCTCCTCGTAAAAGGGCTTTGGCCCTGGCTTCTCATGGGGAGATTTTTTTTTATTTAGAGCCATTTTAGAAAAGATTTGATAAAAACAGTTCTAGTAGTAGTTTTGTAGTAATTTGTATTAGGTTTGTGAAGATGAGCTAGGAGAAGGCTTTTTTTTTTTCGGCTCCTCCATACAAAAATAGCTCAGGCTCCTTGCAATGAGCCGTTTTTTAGGTGCCCATTGGCAGGGCTCCTTGCGATGAGCCGCAAGTAGTCGGAGACGAAGCCCTACCAAAAAGGGGCAAGAGTCTCGTACGACGTTGTCACGCGCCACACGGATTTTGTCACCATGGCGTCGCTTCATAGTTAGCACACAGAGACGACAACCCGGTGTCACGTCTTCCTATGGGAAGGTACGCCGCACTTGTTTAGGCCGGGCCTCGCCATCGCTGGTTGCTCTAATGTTCGCTGCAGGCAAATATGACGAAGCAAACCGCCACCACGTATGACTAGGTTTTGAAAAATGAAACACATGCAACAATTTGACCAGGAGTTCGGCCCCTCCGACAAAACACGAGCATCCTCGCCTACCTTCGAGCACCGAACTGTCCTTCTATTATCAATGCACGCGTATAGGGCAAGCTAACGAGCCAGCTCAGTCCAACTCGTTCTGGCTCGTTAAGATAACAAGGCAGCTCGATTTAGCTCGTTTACGAGCTCGAGCTGGGTTGTTTAGCTCGGTTCAGCTCATTTACGAGCTCGAGTTGGCTCATCATAGAAAATATAATATATGTTTTTATCTAAAGCTTGGGAATAATAATAATACAAAAATAGTCCATTTATAAGCCTTAAATCAAACAAATAAATTAATATGTGCTGACATACGTACAAGTATATCAATGTATTATAGTACTTGTCGGTGTTTCGTAAACTGGACTAGTAAACTTATATGATTATTTATACTAGTTTAGGCCGGGGCCCTACGTCTAGTCTCAGAGATAATCGAGTACGTGTTCCTCGCTTGAATGCTCTGAAGTTCTTACAATGAAGGGTGCAAGAATGGTGGAAGAGGTAGGAGAACCTAAGCTAGGCGATGGGCTGCCCGAAGGGAAGCTTCAGGAGCCCTTCTACGATGGAAAATGAGTGAATGAGTCAGGGACTCAGAATGATCTCAAAAGGGTGCCCTGGCCGCCCTTATATAGAGTTCGTGACCAGGGCGCATACAACGGAGGTGGTTCTCCAGACCGAAGGGTTGTGAGCTTGAGAGAGGTCCTAGCTAACTTGGCTTGCAAGCTACGCCATCTTGTGGAGCGCGTCCGGGCGTGGCTATCATCATCGTCTTGTGGCCACATCGTGGTAGGATGTGGCATGGTGCTTACTATGCTATGCCGTCGTGGCGGCACTGTAGGCACGATGATGGTTCACCACCCGTCCGTGCGACGTGGTCTCTACCATGGTCCTTGTCGTCATCTCCTGATTTTCTAGGGCGCGGTATAAGAGTTGGTAGCCGTTTAGGTCGTCAATCACCTGGTCATCATTGAGGAGCTAATGACCACGATCCCGATCGTTGGGGTCGTGGCTCTCGTTGGTCCGGGTGGCCTTTAAGTCAAGGCCCTTATCGTGGATCCCATCCCATAGTGTGTGACATCGTACATGCGTCTTGTCGGGCCGTATCTGGCCAGAGGTTATCGTGCCTGTCGTCACCGCCCTAAGACGAGTTGTCCTATCTGATCTTTGTGGCATAGGGCTGGCATCTGACCGGACCGAGGTGACTGTTGTCCTCTCGGTCCTTGTAGGGTCGGTGAGACATGTCTGCCCTTGCCAGAGTAGGTGTACTTGGCGGGGTTTGTGTAACACCTCTGGTGTTACGAGCTCACTTAACACTGCGGTTAAGGCCGAGAGAATTTTTTTAAACAAGTTTCTCGGATTTTAAATGTTAAACTCACCCGAAATGATAAAGCAAATCTTACATGATTCACTTTTGTGGTGGAGAAAAACTAAACGAGCATTGTAGGTTAGTCTATGTTATGTGAAGAAAGTGCTTAAAACGTCTAGGTGAAATTCTAGCAAATCAATATGGGATGAGTTGATTATTTCGACTAGGTATGAAAAACAATTTTTATGGACGAAAATGAAGTATAACTTGTATTTAGTACTTGAATAAAGTTGGAGTACAAGTTTAGTAGATGAAAACGCAACTTTCGTTTTGGTGAATAAATGTTGTTCAATAGTATCTTGAATCATCCAAAAATTGAATTTGGGATTCAATTTTCACTTCTAGAACTAAAATGACTTAAGTCTAAAAACCTAATGACAATGCCATTTTGGCAAATTAATTCTAGAACATCTAGTTAAACACTAGTGTTATATTTTTATTTAGTGGGTTGCATCAAACTGAGTACGTTATGACGATGTGTTGGTTAGTAGAGTTAGAGCTTGTTTTAGCTATTAATTAAATGCGTTTAGCACCTAGAATGCCATAGTCCTGGCCGTCGGGCCCTTCTAGCCACGATCACCGCGCCTTGGCACAAAGAATGCCCTGCTGTTGGTCGGTTGAGACCGCCTGCACTTTGTCGTGGTCGGCCGCCCCGACACTGGTCATGCGCGTTCGGTTTGGCTGCCCTTGTTGCCGGTGTCTTGCCGCTGCATGCAGCTTAAGCCCTCACACCGCTTTGCTTCATTGCTTAGCGCTCTGTAGCTTGCGCGCGATGCTCGTATCCATCGCTCTGGCGGCGCCATTATCATTGTGAAACGACTGTTGGCATGCCATGCCATGCCACGTTGCTAAGCACGCACGTGGCCGTACCAAGCCACATGCGTCGCTGACACCGTGTTCTCGCTAGCCGACGCCGCCACGTTGTCCTCGCTCTGCCACTGTGCGTCGTGCCGCTATGCGTGTATCGTTGCCGCTGTAGCGCACGTTGTCGTGTTCGGCTCGCGCTGCTGCCCTTGTCGCTGTCTGTTGCTGCATGTGCCATCGTGGCCATCCTTAGACAAGAGTGTGGTGTTTGCTACCTGTTTGGTCGCCTGTTGTCCCTCCCGTGGCCCTGCCTCGCTTCGTCCAGAGGTCGTCTGCCTTAAAGCATGCGCAGGTGGATGCCATTACCATGCCTTGAAAGCCAGCCACCCGCCTCATCGAGCCCTGACCCGCGTGGCCATGCTCGGCTATCAAAACCAAGAACCGTCCGTGCGTCCGCCTTCGACGCCCTTTCAAAAATTACCCCAACCAGTGCACCTTCATCCTATTCTTCGCACACGCAGTCTGTCATGGAATCTAGCTAGCCAGGCAATCCACATCGAGCCCCATGTGTCCACTATCGCTGGCCAATTTTGATTTCCACGGCCGCCGGTCACCTCGCTGCCATAACAGAGCACGTTTTGGGGGTAAGCCGCTGTCCCATGGCAGCTTTTCGATTAGTGGCTCCTTTGGGCTCGCCTTGATCCTCTCTACGTGGTGCTCGCTTTCCTTTGGCTAGGGCGCTCGTTGACGGCGTGGTGACGGGCCGTGTCTGCCCTAAAGCGATGCCACCATGCCCGCGCGCACGTGGTCGGGTCATCTCGGCCCTCCTCTGCCTCAACCACCACCACAACACGAACCGCGGTAAGTGACGTATGCTTCCCCACCAATCACCCTTTTATTTGCCTATTTTCTTAAAAAGAATTATAGTCTAAGGCAAACTACTTTGAAAATTTTGAGGGATTGAGAGAGGTCACTCACATCAGTTCCAATTGGTGTTT